CGAGTATTTTCTCTGCTACCTGCAAAATTTGGCAAGCTTCAGAAGAAGTCTTAGCTAATTTTCCGAGTGATTTTACTGCTCAAAGTTTTTTACCTTTCTGCCAATCATTCGTCCACCAGCGCTATGGGCAAAGTAGATGTTGTAGAAGTGACAAATGAATGCTTGAGGGTCCTTCTCTGCTAAATCCTTTAAATACTGAGAATATGTTTTACCAGGAGCAGTTGGTTCTGGAATCTCATAACCTTGTTCCTTGAACCACTCCAAATCTGTGGCTAATTTATCCGACCTTTCCAGTCCTGTGTTCTTGAATTCAGTATCTGCAGAAAATATATTTTGCGGAATTAGAACCTCAGTGGGTTATGCTAGAAAAAAAAATCAGCCTCTGTGTAAAGATATTTCACAAACTGGTGTATGTTTCCAAAACATAGAAAACTCAGTCTCTACTAGCTAACACAACCATAATCCCTCATAGATTATTTGAAGACTCTTATTCTACGTAAGGTTTGTGAGGACACATAATGACCAAGAATACGAGACAACACAAAGATTAGATTCACAAGTTGTACATATATTCAACCTTAAACCACCATGCAAGAGATATCAAAATATACGCCATTCATACAAAGCACCACTATAACCAACTAAATCCAAAGAGTACAAAACTAAATGACCAAAAATTATAAACGAATTAAATCCATTAAGAAATGGAGCAAAGGAATCATCTTTATCAAATGAGTAAACACTAAGATCTAAATACTCCAAACATATAGAAGTATGCTCCAAATCATTCATACAGACCATCAATATAACCAACTCAATACAAGAGAAAACAAAACTAAGTTCCCAAAAAATCTGAACAAATCAACTCCACAACAAGATAAGAGGCAAGGAAATCATCTTATATCTAATGGGTAGATAAGTAAGATTAACACACTCCAACGCATAGAAGTACTCTCCAAATCACTTAAAACTTTTCCACTATGCAAAACATATCAAACAGAACTATAATCCTAAGAATCAACTCCAAAAACAAGATTACAAGTCAGGCAAAGGAGCGATCTTGATCAAATGGGTAGATACTAAGATCTCAAACACTCCAAATCAGTTTAACCATTCCATCTAAAATCAGTTCTGAAACTCAGCATCGACCCATAAATAGAGTATCATCCTAAGAATACTTCAATTCATACAAACCATCACGACAACCAAAAACTCAGAATGAATTAAATTACAAACAACATAAGATATGAGGCAAAGGAATCAACTTTATCAAATGGGCAGATACAAAAATCTATTACTCAAATCACTTCAACTCTTCCATCTAAAAATAAGTTCTAAAGATGACCAAATCAAACCCATTCAAAGAAGAGGAGAAGGAGAGGAAAAATAACTCACAAGTTGGGAAATTGGAATCTTGAATAATCTGTTCAAGAGTATCATAAACCAATTTACTGTCCACAAGAAACTTCAAGTAACCTTCAACACTAGGTTCCCATTTAGCCACAGGACGTTCCTCAATAGATTTAGTCTCTTTCTCACCTTCCTTAGCTTGATCTTTAGTATGAAGTCTCATAGCCACAAACCTCATCTCCTCAACAAAACCCTTCGATTCTCCAGGATACCTCTTCTTCTGCTTCTCAGCCGCCGTAGTAGCCGCAACCACCACTAAAGACGGTGACTTGTTCATGGGCATACTCAGAATCTGAACTCTAGGGCGTAGAGCAAGTGGGTTTGGTGGGGAGAAAGCAAATTGGAATCTTGAGAGTTGGGGATTTTTGAATATGGATAACGATGAAGAAATCGAAGTTAAATAAGCCATAGTTTTTGATCGGAGAAACACACACAAATACAGAGATGGGTTTCAGAAGAAGTCACGCAATGTAGTTTTAGTTGCCTTGAAGGAATGGAGAAGAAGGATACACAAAGTCCAACTGAAATTTTTAAAATTAGGGTAATGATAAAATAGTGAACACTGTTTTAGTGATTTAAGATTATTAATAAAAAAAGATATAATAAAAATAAATAATTGTTTTCCTCGGCTGACGAGTTTCTAAAACGAAGATAACGATGTCGATGAGAGGTGAATTGTTTATTTAACAACGGAGCTATTATTTCGGGTTGATGTATTTGTCGACAATTGTGTTGATCGTGTACATGTCACAATGTCACCTTTATTCTGTATGGGTCGAGAGTCCGACACTGAGGGTCCGAATGGTAACAGCGGATTTGGTTGTGCGGGATAAGCGATTTGATAGTGCGGTACGGTTCAAATGCGGTACGTGCGGGACAAATATATTAGCGGGACAAGTGCGGTAAATGCAAAATAAGCGGTACAAATAATATTTGATTGGTGAAAAATGATTTGAAGTGCGGATTTCATATTATTTGATTTTTTCTCAATGAAATAGTATTTTCATCTATTCTTTATAAACTTTTAAAAACAAAATTTAAGCTTGAAGTATATGTAAATTTTCTTTATTAAAATAGTGAGAATACATATTTCTTAAAATGATTTGTTATAACTGAAACTATAATTTCATTTTAAAATTGTTAAGTTTTAAGTAATATATATGATATAATTTAATCATATTTTTGAACAAAAAGTTGACTACAGTTTTAGTTTTTTATGAACATGTATTTAATGTTAAAAGTTCAAATTAATTATATTATCATTTGTGAAGAAATAATAAAATATTTTGTTTTTCAAAATTTAAATTATTTATAAGAATATTTAAATTGTAAATTAAAGAACTTATTTAGCATAAGTAACTTGTTAATATATGTTGATTATTACTATTTTTTATTAGTCACAAAAAATCAAAACATAAAGCAGAATTTTATTTTACTCAATGAGTTATTGCAAATTTTTTAATTTTTTTGGTTTCACATTTGCAAAAATTTATCATTTATTAAAGTATATCATTTATAAAACATGAACTAAAGAATAATTTAGCATCTATTCATTTATTGAAATACATGTTGATGATTTAACTTTATTTATTCATCATACTGATAAAAAGAAAAAAAAAAGAAGAAAAAAATATCATTGTCCAGTGCGTTTTTGACGAAAACCACTGGATAATAGGTAGAAGAGCTAAAAGAAGCGGTCCATGAGTTACTAGTCCAGCTTTTAAAAACGCAACAGTTACTTTACATTTTTTCTTGAAAAACGCTAATAACAAATGAAATCATGAATGGTGTATAATATGAGTTTTATAAATACGCACTTACAAATACGCCTTTTAGTGGTCGCCATTCACTGCCTGAGAGCTGATTCAGTGAAAATAATGGTGCGGGTGATTTTTTTTTTTTTTCCTACAATAATGGTGCGGGTGATTAAAAAGTAATAACTTGTAGTAGCTTTTTAATAAAAAGGAAAATAAATCAATTTATTATTGAGTTAATATTAAAAGTGTAAAACAAATCAATTTATTAAAAAGAATATTATGGGTTATGCCATTTGTAAACTCAAAATTGTTAACTTGTCATTATCAAAAACACTTTTCAAAACATGTCACATTGAGGAGTTATTAGACGATTTTACCCTTAGTCTTGGAGAGTAAAAGTTTAGCGTTTTCTATTTATTAAATATTATGGGTCTGCAGAATGTGAAAAATCAAATATGGGGAAGAAAATTCTAAACGTCGCAGGAAAAAATAAACCAACCCAGCTTTTTACTCTGCACAAGAATCAATATGATGAGAGTAAAAATGTCTTTTTATTTGGCCTTTATGGCAGGCGGGAGAAGACATTAAATAAAATAGCAATGCTTATAATTTTGACTATTGTATAGGGCATAGGATATAATTTTCTCTTTATTAAATATTTGGGAAAAAAGCCGAAAAATATGCCAACTATTTTTTATTTGGACGTTTAATACTCCGTCTTTTTTATTGAAATAAACATACCTCATTTATTTAAGGTTATTCTAAAAAAATCGTTTATATACTCGTTAGTAGATTCCTACTTTACAGTTAACCGCCGTTTACGCGGTTGACGGTATTGTTTAACATAAGTAAACTTTAATTCCATGTTGTTAAATGATCTATATATATAAAGTTAGCCTTTTCTCTCTTCTCATGATGCCACCTAAGCATCCACCTAAGCCACATTTTTTTACATTAAAATAAATTTAAAACATTCATTTAGTGCATATTTATGCTACTTATTTAATTAATAGAAAATTTATATAAATAAAAATAAATTATGTAAATAAATGAAATGTTAAATAAGAAATACTTTCATTTTTTCTTAGTTAGTAGTAATAATATAATTCAACTTTCATTTTAAATTGATCATAGTTTAAAATTTTAAATGTGTTACTGAGTTTAAGAATGTAAGTAAATTTTAAATTTATGGTAGAATAAAAACAACATTAATGTAATTGTATATATAAAATTTTAAAGGGGAAAAATAAAACTGAAAGTGAAATATTAGTTTATAACATGATCAAAAAGAAAATGCTTTTAATCCAAATTTAAATATTGAAAGATAATAATTCAAGAGAAAATAACTATAATATGTTTTGAAAATCAATTAAAATAATTAAAAGATCACAATATAAATAAAAAATTAACAAAAAAATTATAAACCTCCCGCGCGTAGCGCGGGTCAACTGCTAGTATATATATAGAATGTGGTTATAGAAAAGTACGAAAGATCCGCCTTAAGAGAAAGCCATTAGAGAGAAGTTCTGATATGTTCTTAGTGGCGACAACAGAGAAGAAGAAGAAGAAGAAAAAAGAGAGTAAAAAAAAGAAAAGAAATTTGGATGTTAATCAAACCCAAAACCTACAAGCACCTTAATTAACATGTTACCACCAGGCCACAACAATTCTACCATGGGTGGTTATAACTAAATAATATATATCATTTAAACACGTGAAATTAAAGTCTAACCTGTTAAATGATTCCGTTACCGGGTAAACGGCTGTAATCTGTAAGGTAGGAATCTACTAAAGAGTATGTAAACAATTATTTTTTAAACCAACGTTAAATAAATGAGGTATTTTTATTCCAATAAAAAAAGAACGGGGTATTAAACGTCCAAATAAAAAAATAGATGGCGTAGTTTTCGGCTTTTTCCTTTAAATCTTTCAACAAAATATTAATTAATTGATTATATACAATATTGACGTCTTTCACACAAAAAATGATGCCTTTTTGTCAAATTATTAATGGTTTTTTTTTTGTCAAAAATTAAAATTTGTTAATCTAAATTTTAAAGGTCATTATACAATTTTTTATTATCCACGAAGGGGATAAGCTTTATGTAAATAAAAATTACAATGAAAACATCTACACATCCAGCCAACTCAGCCGAGGAAACTTCGTTGCTATCAAATGCATTCGGATATATTTAGACATATTAACATCGTATAAATTAAATAATAAATTAATATATCACAAAAGTCATTTTTTTTCTTCTTGCGTTCTCTTTTCTATCTTTCTCTTCATTAATACCCAGAATCAGATCAATCCATCAATTAAAAATCAGACCCAAAATTTACATGATTATGAATCTGCCTATATAACCTAAATATCGATCCAAAAGATAAAAACTGTTGTATCAAATCGAAAAAGGGAAAAAAGCTTTTTAATTCGCCATCTATTTTTATTTTGGCCGTTTAATACCTGCAGTTTTTGAATTGGACTAAAAATACTTGTGTTATTTAAATTTGTTCGTAAAATTGTTCGTGTATTAAAACGTTGGTGGAATCGGACCCAAGAGTTAACTGCCGTTTACGGCGTTGACAGAACCGCTAACGTGGTTAATTAGAGTAAACTAAAGACATTGTTGCCCTTTTCCATTCTTCTTCTACATCGACTGGGGGATTGATTTTTTCCATTGTAGAACCCTAAAATCTATTTTCTTCTTTTCTCCTTTCATTGAGAGAATACTCAGCTCAAGTTCCGGATCTGATGCAAATTCAAAACAGAGCCGTGGTCCTCTTTGCAATTGTGGTAGAGCGACAAGTATTGTGAAGGCATGGACAAATAAGAATCTGGGTAGAAGATTCTTCAGATGTGTTGTACATGGTTTCCTCAATTGGGTAGATGAAGATAAGCCACACGGTTGGCAGAAGGTGAGATTACTCGAGGCGAGAGATGAGATCAAGGCACTAAAAGAATCTTTAAAGATCATGAATGAACAAATTGGGATAGGTTCCACCACATTCTCCACTGACCTAGTAAAGAAACATGAGGAAGAAAAGATGAAGCTTGAAATTGAAGTGATGAGAGCTAATGAGGAGAACAAGAAGCTTGAAAATGAAGTTATGAGAGCTAATGAGAGGGAAAAATTGCTTCGGCAGTTTGTGGTGATGTCTTGGGGAGGTTTCATTGTTGTTATTGCAATGATACTTGTAATGGGAAAGAAGTAAATTACGTATTGTTATGTTGTTAGAAGTTGGTTACTTAGTTGGTGTTCATGTTGTATGGCTGTGAAAATGGGAACTTTGTGAAATGTAATCTTGTTTATCCTAAGTTGTCAAACTTCATTCATCCGAAATAGCATATTGGTTTGCAATTACAAGGATTCCACCCAAAAAAATATATGGATCCTACCAAAACAAAGCATCAAGCATCCTACATAGAAATCATCCTACAAAGTCATTAAGCACACAAAAGATATTACTCATGTTACTCCTACTTCTTCTCTGGTCGCCAAACGTCAAAGACCTTGTCAGTCCAAGGAGATAAAAAAAAACACTGGCGGTTTAGGAGCTGCGGATCCTCTACCACAACCCTTTCCACGACCCTTGCCACAACCATTTTTAGTGCCAGGAGGACGTCCACGTGCACGTCCCTTACCACTTGGATTAGCTGCTGGTGCACTTGAATGTTGCGGATTCTATGACTGACTTTGAGCAGCAGGTGGTGGTGTGGATTGGCTTGAGCAGTTTTCCACCTCTTTGGAGCATTGTGGATACTCCATGGATCATCATTATCCTGTAATAACTCTGGTTGATGAAACTGAGATCATAGTTGAAGGACAAAATCAGCAGCCGCAGCCTCATCAACATCTCCCTCCTCTTCTACTTCTTCAGCTCGATCATCTTCCTCTTCAAGAACACACTCCTCACCAGGCTGGGATAGAGGAAAAGGTATAGGTTCAGACACACCTTGTTGAATGTATATATCAACTTCACCTCCAGTTGAAGCTTCACTATACAACTTCCGAATCCCACTGTCTTTGTCTTCTTTGATAACTCTTACTAGAGCTATGTCTTCTTCTGGAAGCTTGTACCATACTTCCTCAACTACACCATACACTCCTTTCTCTGAGCAGAATTCGTCAAAGATAGACCAAGTCATCAAATCTGGGTCCATCAACACATCTTTCTCCTCAGTTCCTCTTATGTAAGCAAACTTCTCATCCTTGAATGATACATCTCCTCCAAAGTGTATATTGAGTTTCAATAACTCGAAAGCACTGCACGTTGATGATGTAAGTTATTAGCCAAGTAATCAAGTAAAAAGACTTTTGATTTTGCCCACCCCAGAAATCGAAATCCATCCCCAACCTAGAAAATCGAAATCCATCCCCAACCCAGAAAATCGAAATCCATCCCCAACCCAGAAAATTCATGAACCCTAAAAGAAGTAATTGAATCGACGAAAATTAAGTGATTAGGTCTGTAATCACTACAAAACTCATATCGATATCCCCAAAAAATTGATTTTCACCCCATCTCAAATAAAAATCGCTAACCCTAAAAGGTGAAATTGAATCGCCGAATACATACCTCATCTCTCCGAGACAAAACGAAGTCACCGTCGACGAAGAAACCACCAATAACAACCAATCGATAAGCTATCAAACACCCAACATCATCCAAGAAAACTGAAGAAGAATAGAGGAAAAGAGAGAGATTTAGGGTTCTTAGTCAAAATTGATTTGGGGAAATGTGAAAAGGACAACAGTGTCTTTCGTTTACTCTAATTACCACGTGAGGTTAAGAGTTAACCCCAATTAGCGGTTCCGTTAACGCCGTAAACGGCAGTTAACTCTTGGGTACGATTCGACCAACGTTATAATAAACGAACAATTTTCTGAACAAAATTAAATAACACAAGTATTTTTAATCCAATTCAAAAACTACAGGTATTAAACGGCCAAAATAAAAATAGATTGGCGAATTAAAAAAACTTTTTTCCCAATCGAAAAATGAAAATTGTCAAAAAGGAAGAAACTTGAAATCTATTGTTTTTTCTAAATGACTAACACGACGTCGTTCAGTGATATAACGTGGCATTTTAAACAGTAAATACGACATCCTAGTTAGCATTTATTAACGGAGTAGTAACGTCGTTTATCGATTTGATGTTTTGGCCGGTTTTGACTTGTTTGTGTTAGAAATTCAAATTTTAGTTAAGTTCGTATAGTTATAAGAACGACTCAAAATTTTGTGTATGAATACGATAAAGCAACCAAGTTTATGGGGGAATATGCCGTTTTCCCGTTATTTGTTACACATTCCTTTGGTGTGAACAAACACTACTTCCTAAAACTGACTTGCCAATGGAAAATAACTTGAACTAAAAATCTACAATAGACTTGTCATGAGTACGACTGTGAATGATGTGTATAAGACCATCTCCACTCAAGTAACCCATCAAAAGTACTTAAAATTTAATTAATAATATAATGTCATTAAATTAATCAAATCAACATATTAACAACTTTAAACATAATTAACCTTCCACTAGAGAAACCTTATCAAGGTATTAATATATTATATTTATATCAAATATAAATAAATAAGTAAATAATCGAAAATGACAAAATTTATTACATATATTACATTAAAAAGGAAGGAAAATATTTTACATAATTCATAAATTAGAAAAATGATACAAAATTGAGAAAAAAGGACATAAAATTGCAATAGAGTAATTCTCATTGTTTATAGAAAAGGAACATAGAAAGCTATATGCATGACCATATTTCTGGAGGAACCACATAAACAAGACACATGAAGTGGAAATCAAGAATACGTTCACCCGTAACTCCTTCATTGGATCAGGAGTCAGTAATGCTCTAATCATTGTGACAATAGGTCCTTGAAATACGAGGAAGATATCACATATTTTCTAAGTTCTATATATACCATAAGTATTACTTGTTTAGGTTTGGAACATAAGTATTTACTTGCTTGTAGCCACAAACGATGATTTGATCACCTTCATGGAGTTCACCATTTATCAACAAAACATCGTTGTTCCATGGCCTTCCATAACTTTGACCTCAAGGACAGTACACTGTTGAACAATTTCAAGAAAGGATCAGAATCCTAATGATGAAGTATTGCAGAAACAAGTGTTACCTAAATTAGAAAGGAGAAAGACCTCTACTTCGTCTACATATGTAAGTTTCTCAACCATTGTTTTCTGAACCCATTGAACCAACCACATCAAGAGATCTGGAACCCCTTCCCCACTGAAATATCAAGAACTAATGTTACCCAACTATTTCAAATGAATAACTTGTCTGTTATGCAGTGAATTACAAACACTAAACAGAGATTTATACCTAATTGCACTAGTAGGAACAATACTTAACGTTTCTCCCATGTCTTTATTGGAGATTGACAAAATTAATCTCAGAGATTGACTTCTTGATTACACACAGATTTAAACAGTCTACAAGAAAGAGACCAAAGAACATATATAAGTTTGTTACCAATGAACCAAGAACACGAGGAGAAACGTGAATGGTAGCAGAGTGATGTAGCCTGTCCAAGAGAGAGAGAAAGAGAGAGAGAGTCAAGACTTAGCATCAACCTAGTATCTCTAAATGATGGGAGAGTACAAATGTTACATGATCCCGGTGAAAAGTACTTTGATATCACACACAAATAAGCTGAAAGAGATACTTCATTCAATGAAAAATATTAGTAGCCTTACAATGATAACAAGAAATGCTAATTAAACGGAAAGAAACTCACTACTCACGTGGCTCAACTTCTCTTAAAGACGTGGCCTTATTTGACTCTGCAACAAGATAAACTAAACACTAATTCAAATCATATGACTTATTCAGCTGACCAAACGAACAATAATCCATATATGTCTTTGCCTCACTAACTTCGGATTCATGCTGGGAACACCGAGATAAATTACAAGAACATGCAGAATAGCAGACATGAGAAGACGAACCTTTTGTGGCTGATTCACTCGCCGGTGGACCTCGCCGTCACCTTAAGGCCATCAAGGAACCATCATCGATCATGTTTCGTTTCGAACAAAATCTGAACACAAATCAACCGATTCAAAGTGTACAGAACACAAATCAACCGATTCATATCGTCGTTATCGCTCTCCGACACGTCGCTGTCGTGTTTTCGCCGAAATCGGAGTGAATCACACATGTTTTCGCTGTTTCTTGTCGGGAGAGAAGAGAAAGATTCATCAGCCAAAAAGAAAGAAAAAGGAAAAAAATCAATTTTTTTTATATTTACTCATCAACAAACCAAAAATTAGCCATGTTGCGTTGCTTATGCGATTCTTCCATCGCCGACATAAGCAACGTTTGTGGTTCACTTATCACATAAGCAACTTACAAAAACTGTCTACTGGAGCTGCTCTAAGTGCCTCAATATTTTCTTCAAAGTAAATTACTTTCAAACTCTTAAGCCATATTTCTCTTTATTTTATTGAATCTGGTAAAGATTTAGCCTTCGTTTTGAAAGATGAATTGACATGATTAAGAGATGATTCTCCACAACATTTAGATAACCCATTAAGATCGCGTACAATCCATCATCCAATGACTATGTTTATGGTTCGTACCAAACATCAAAATTGCATCTCGTAAAATAAGAATATTAATTGGTCTATTGTATAACCGAAGGTATAGTTGTTGCAGGCTCAGAACTCCTCCCTTGGTCAGAAACAATTGTAGCTGTCCAGTCTCTGGCTTCGACTTAATCTTTGATAACTATGCTCGTAAGACTAATTCGTATTTGGTTAAAGACCAAGTTGTCTTTACAAAGACGCCGTCACACACAACAAGGGAGAAAATTTCTTTCAAAGAAATCCCTTGAATATTCTGGAAATCAAGAATGTTTGATATATTTTATTCACAATCATGCGATGATGACTGTAAAGATGTTAACGATACATTAGATAATCTCCTATACATGATTACAAAAAGGCAAGTGAATATAACATGATTAATATTTACATCAAAGCAACCACAAAGCAAGACTTTGGGATCCAATTTCATTCCTCAAGTATTTAGTTAAGAGTTGGTAACTAAAACTCGTGATAGGATCCTCTAGGAAAATATTTACGTTTTGCCATTATTAAAAGTTTCAAAATTGATTTTTTTTTTTAACTTTGTTTTGTCATCATCATTTTAATTTAAAGACTCAAACGACCCAAGAACATTGAATATTATTTACAGAAAGACTTAGTAGCAATTCATAACGCACTTTGCTTGTCAACGAATCCGCTTTAATATTAGAACAACGAGAGATTTTAACTAACTTAAAAGAAGAAAAAACTCCCTTATCTGCTTGAATTTCTTCTAAGTACGTGTCAAATGCTGGTCATTCTTCTGGGGAAGACACTATCTCCACAAAATCTTAACTGTCTGTGATGAAAGTCACCTCTCTACTAGATGCTTTGAGCATGGATTTTACCTCTCCGTATGCAATGACGAGAGACTTCTCCTTAAATTGGTGCAGCCATTGTTGATCGTCCATTTGGCGTAGTACAATACCATCTAAAATATTTGTCGCCTTCCTTCCATGAGCCATAAAAAAAGCATGTGGATCCTGAAAATGATTTCACATAAGCCTCCAATAGTTGAATAATACCTCGTAGCGCATTATTTTCGTCTTTGATAAGACCCTATGATTGTCGGATCGTCCATGATTGTGCCACATTTAATTTTCAGCCAACCACAACACCTCTTTTTGGTCCTTATCAACATTGTCAAAAACTTTTTCATTCCTAGCTTTCCATATAAACCATAATATTTATGGATACATTAAAATGTTTGAACCTAGAGGTGTTCGCTAGACTAGATAATCCATATTTGCATGAATCGAATATGATAGAAACATCCTAACGCCGTAGGAACTTGAGATAAGGCCCAAGTCTGAATTGCCGGTGAACATTGAAATAAACCATGATTAATGGATTTCAAATTGCCACATCTATTATATTATAAATCACAATTTAAACCACTAGTGAACAAAATTTTGTAACCAACATGCACTCAGTGAGCACCTATCACATAAAATGTCCTAACTTAGGAGGGCATTTGACCATCCAAACAAAAGCTTGCAATGGTTGTATATTCGGCCTAGATGACCGAGCATGCATACTGTTGTGATTCACCCCACGTGATGCAAGGTATCTTGATTTAACCGTGTACTTGTTTGATTTTGTAAAATGCCAAAACATAGAATCATGTCCTTTAGGAACCCTCAGCAGAATAAACTTATCAATGAGACATCCTCTTGAACAATGAGTTCTTAAAGGAGTTTCATGTTCCATGAGTTTGTCGAAGAATCCATCAACTAATTAATTGTTAAATTTAAAAGTTGATTCATCAAGTGAACCATTTCATAAATCTGCCTCGGGAATTGAGCTGGTATCCAATGATCCTTCCATACTGAGATAGATTCACCAGAACCAACTCTTTAATTTAATAAGTCTTTTGGTAACCAGAGGTCTAGTAGAGACAATACTACGCCAGACATAAGATGAGGAATATGATTTAATCGTTTCCATTGGAATTGAGTTTCTATAGTAAATTCCATTAAAAACACATTGGCAAACAAGGAGTTTGGGTCTGCAATCAAACGCCAAAGTTG